CATGCGTACATGCATGCATGCATGCATGCATGCATACATACATACATACATACATACGTACATACATACGTACATTATGCCAAGCTACTTCACGATCACGTTACGCTACGTTAGGCTACGTTTCATATCATTACACTACATTGAATTACATTACATTAACACATTACATACACATGCTCTGATATCAAAGTATGTACATCTACGTACCCTAAGCCCTTAACCCCAAACCCTTACACCCTAGACGCTAAACCCTGAAACCCCAAAACCCTTAAACCCTGAACCCTAAACACAAAACCCTTAAAACCCTAAACCTTTAGCACCCTTGGACCCTAAACCCCAAAACACAAAACCCTTAAACCCCTAAGCCCTTCAAAGCCTAAACCCTTAAACCCCTTAACACTAAACCCTTGAACCATTAAACCCTAAACCTCTAAACCCTTAAACCCCTAAACCCTTGAAACCCATGAATCCTAAACGCCTAAACACTGAACCCTTAAACCCCTGAACCCTTAAACCCCTAAACCCTTAACAACCTTAGAAACCCATAAACCCTAAACCCATGAACACTAGACCCTTACACTCCTAAATCCGTAAAACCCTTAAAACCCTTAAAGCCCTAAACCCTTGGAACCCTGAAACTCTAAACCCCCAAACACAAAGTTTTCCAGGTTTGCACCATCCCTGGCCGGGCCTTGGCCCTGGTACGAAACGTTGGGCACCACATGCCACCTGGCTTTTGGGGGAGGGCGGGGGGGTTTGGGGTTTAGGGTGCAGGGGTTTAGGGGTTTAGGGTTTAGGGGTTTAGGGGTTTAGGGGTTTAGGGGTTTAAGGGTTTAGGGGTTTAAGGGTTAAGGGGTTAAGGTTGAGGGTTTCAGCGGTTAGGATTCAGTGTTGCTTGTCTGGGTTCTGGTGTGCTGATGCGAGCGCTGCTTCCGATGATGAGTTAGCCCGTAAAGGTCCAAGCAGAGGAGGAAAAATGGTAATACACTTCCTGGAAGGGAGATCTTAACCAAAAAGGGGACCCACATTATGCTGCCTATCCTTAGGGACAGGTATGTTGAAAAGCACCACGTAGTGATCTGAGCCAGTGAGTAGATCAGCAGGCAACAGCCAAACTAACAAAGGGCCTGGTGCAGGAAGATCGGTGCAGGCGAGACTGACATGCCACAGGCACAGCATAGCCCACTGCTTGAAGATCTTCTTGAGCCTCTATGTGAAGAAAACAAGCGGATGGCTCGGATTTTGGCGTCTTGATTGTGGTTTGCTCACCCGACTCCATGGTTTTCCCACCCAAGGACGCATGCCTGTAAAGGATCAGGTTATGCGCCTTCACAAAAGAACATCGATTTGTTCTAAAGCCTGGTCCCTTTTCGGATATCTCTGTAGGTATATTCAATATCATTTCGGGCACTGCAAAAACCAGCTCATTATTTAGAACAACCCCACATTGGGAAAAGGACCCTTGTACGGCATTTTGTCGGGAACCCCTAACCTAAAGTCCTACATTTCCTGGTGTATAGTGTTTCTTTTTGACTGCGACAGGATCCGCATCTCTTCTCGGGGAAGCACGGGCTGTGAACACGCCACTTTCATGTTCATTTCCCTAAGCACCAAAAAACCTCACTCCTACAGTTTTAGGGTATAGGGATAGGGTTTAGAGTTGAGGGATAGCGTTTTCCTATATCTTGGAACCACAGTTCTGTGAGGTTCACAGATGCGGTGCTCACGCCGGATGGCAAGTTCGTGCCCGAAGGTGTGGAATAATTAGCCGGTCTGGCATTCATGCCTTTCCTAACTGGTTCTTGTCAGGGAATAGGGAAAGAGAATATGTGGGGATTACATGCCCTTATTCCCTACTAAGAACAATAAAGTTTAGGTGCAAGACACTAAGGGTTCAGGGTTCATCCCTCTCAAGAGGGTTTTGGGGTTAAGGCATCATGCCGTCATGCACCTGGTCATTTCTATATGTAACATGGTTGTGTTGAAGTTTGGAATCGCAAGCGTGGAAGAACTACCGTCTTGTTGACTCCATCTCAGCTCTAACGGCGGTGGATGAGGGGTGGCTTGTCAAGTTTGCTGGGCTTGCACGAGCATGCGTAAGCTTACTACCGTGGAGGATGCTTCCAACGAGTGGGCAAAGTGTGCCACGATCTCTCTAAGGCGTTTCTGTATAGTATCTTGAGCTATCCACGATGTACCCCTTTCATTAATATGGCCATACAAATCACTATGCGATTCCTACCTTGGTCTCTAAAGTAGGCAAAATGATGGAACCATAAGACAAAATCCAAAAGGCTGTGGTTCTACATATTTTACGACGTCCTCGTAATCGTCCCAACAGGAAGTTTAAACCCTCAAGGTCCCAACATGATCCGAAGAAGGCCGGTTCGTTTCGGGTCTGTAGGGTTGAAGGGGGGTTCAAAGGTTGAGGGCTTGGGGTGTAACCCAGAAGGCAGCTCAAAAGTTAGCCTGCTCTCCTTAATATACTTCAACTTCTCTCAAGAGCTAGTCTGTTCTCCTTCATATACTTACTTTTCTCAAGCACATATAGGCCTAGTTCCTCACATGCCGAGTCCTCCTCCAGTGGATAGAAGGCATGCCCGACCTTCGATCCCGAGCTTCCAAATCCCTTGACTTAATAGGTGATTCTGGTATTCTGAGCCCCCCAACCAACTTGAAGGAATGGACTCTTATAGTAGTCCCTATATAACCCGTTATGGTAGCTTCCATGTTCTTTTCCATTCCTCCATTCCCAGCTAACCAAAGGCCAGAAAACCTGAAGGTTTCTTGGACTGCTTGATCACCACGGCCAGCGCGCTGCACGACCTCCGTGGCACTGGGCGATTGATGAACAGCCGCGAAGGCTGTGCAATCCTCCGTCAGTATGGTACGTATGCAGCAAAAATCCATAATATAGAGGCCGAAATATTTACCAATATTCGGGTGCACTAATATTATGGTTCCATATTCCTTGTATAATCATGCATAGTATATGGTACCTCAACTGGACCTCAAAATGATATTGCTAATTATGTAGGCGCCTGTAGTACCGAGGCAGGCCTGTTTTGTTTCTAGGAGGCCCATCCCTTTGAAAGATCTGAGACAAAGAGAAGAACTCCACGCTCAGACACAGCCTTAAGGGTCCCAGGACCCAAATGATAGGGCTGTAAGGCCCAAATACTATGATACTATTTAATGCTGTCTATTGCACTCCTTGCATCGCGGCTGAAACGGCTATAGCATGCGGATATCATCACAGTTGCATCTCCGTAGCGCAGGTTGTTTCATGGGCCAAGACTTCCAAAGCAAAGGATATTTGTGTGGTACACTACGGAACCCTAAGCCCCATGTTCTGATGTTATGTTGCTTGGTCAGCGGTTGAAGATAATCAGGTCTGGGGTCTGGGGCTATTGGTTTAGCTCTCGCATTTCCATGTACTTGTTGCAGGTTAATCACTTCCCTTTAGTAATACCCCCCATCCCTCGAATAATGCTGATAACAACTACCATTCCTCCTAATATACAAAGGTACTATACTGGGGCGCGGTCATAATGGGGAAGGGAATGGGGTGGGGGGTTTTATAGTTAGGGGATTAACAAGCTAATAAGAAACCCGACATATTCCTTGACTACCGCAGTCGTTTTGTTCAAGCTTGCAACAATTCTTGGGTGTTTGGGGGGAGGTTCAAGTCTGTGTTGCAAGGGTCGCACCGACAGCTCTAGGAATGGACATCTTCAAGATATAGTTGGTTTCAGGGTTAAAGGTATAGTCGTAGCCGCCGCTTCTTGAAGCCATGAGATCCGTGCTGGGCGTAGCGATCTTGGCCACGCTTGCGTCGGCGGAACCCAATGTCATGAACAAGGGTGGCATTCCGTACCAGATCAGTAATCCTCCAGGGGCGACGAAAGACTGGAAGGGCACGCCGGGAAATTACTCCGTAGACTTCATGCATAACGTGACTTACTCGTGCTTGAGAGGGCCAGGGGTGAATAAAGACATAGTACCCCTAAAGTAGATAGAATATGGCTTTGGGTATTCTATAATAAGACCCCCATATACCCCATCAGGGGGACTAGCATTCTGAGAGCCGGGTATAGACCGGGACGAGACGGGAGTTTCCCAAAGAGGGAGGGGGGCCAACCTGCCCTAAACCCTAAACCGCACATGCGATTTAGGGACTCCCGAAGGAACTTCGTTGGTTGTGGAAACCCCCATATTGGGATTATCTTAGCAATCCACTTTTCCATTGACCGCTGTTGCTTCAGCAAGGTGAAGGGCAAGGTGGAGTACTTCGACGTCTACGGTGAAGTTCGGACGAAGTATTCGCAGGCGAGTACTTCTCAATATGGGGAATCCTAAACCGTAAACCCCAGACCTGACACACCCTCAAAGAGTGGGACCCTAAATTTATGGACATCCGTGGAGAGACCTCAGAACCCTGAAGCGTTACATTTAACTGACCCCTAGAAACCCTAAACCCTAAATCCCTAAGCCTTATAGACCCAGACCCTTATAGGGTTTGGGGTGTTTAGGGTTTAGGACCCTAATGAAGCCCTAGACCCTAAACCCTGAAGCCAATCTTTGAGAAGCCAGTAGGTCTACTGGACGCGCAATGCACCAATCAACCTGCCGAAGGAGTTGGTGGACCGATTCAATGGCAAGGTACCTTGCAGACAGTTTGGGGTGTAGGGTTTAGGTTTTAGGGTTTTTGGTGTAGGGTTTTGGGGTTAAGGTTTTTGGGTCAAGGGTGTAGGGTTTTGGGGCTAAGGTTTTAGCGTTAAGGGCATAGGGTTTTGGGGTTTAGGTTTTTAGGGTCAAGGGTGTAGGGTTTTGGGGTTCAGGTTTTATGCTTTAAGGTGTAGGGTTTTGGGGGGTCGAGGTTTTAGGGTTGAGCACCGCTCAGGATATGAATGTATATGTATATGTTTTAATGCATTTTTGCTTAAATGCATGCATTGTATCTGTGTGTATGTATGTCTGTCTGTCTGTATGTATGCATGCATGTATGTATTTATGTATGTATGTATGTATGTATGTATGTATGTACGTATGTACGTAAGTACG